GTTAATTTTTATTTTATTATACACTTTAATAATAAAAAAATAAATACATTCTTATTTTATACCCTTAAAAAATAAGCTAGGAAGTTCCCTAAAAGAGTAGGTGAAAAAAAAAAAGACAAATAAATTCGATAATAATTTTTTTAACCTAAGTGTAATTAATACTTCTTTTAACAATTAATTTATATATATAAAAGGTTTAAATACCATTTTAGTCCCTCAACTTTTCACTTTGGCACGAAAATTGTCCCTCAGCTTTAAAAAGTATTAAAATTATCCTCAAACTTTCATTTTGGATACCAAAATGATACTTCCGTCAGTTAAATGACATGTGGCACGTTAAAATGCCAGCGAATCAATTTTTTTTTTGCTTAACTAATGACATGGAAAAAAAACAAAATATAATTGGTCATCTTTTGTATGAGTTGGCATTTTTATTTAATTTAAAAATAATGATTTTTTTTTCGTCCATTGTCATCTCTTCTTTCTCTTTCGCTTTCTCTCTCCTTTACCTTTCCTTTTCCCTTACCTCTGCAAACCCAGATCCACTTCATCTTCTTCCTCCTTCCTTTCTTCCTCCATGCTTATCCTTCTTTTTTCTTCTTCTTATTCTTTCTCTCTCTCTCTCTCCCTACTTCTTCTCTCAAACCCAGACATGGGTTTGTCTCAAGCCACGATCTGGGTTTTTCTCAAACCCAGATCTAGGTTTGTCTCAAGCCCACCCTTTGGCCCTCAAATCCCCCCTCAATCACCTTCCTCAACCAACCTTCCTCCTTCCTTTCCCTCCTCATCCTTCTTCTTTCTTATTCTTTCTCTCTCTCTTCTCATTTATTCTTCCTCTGCAAATCAAAATCCATATTTGGGTTTTTCTCAAACCCAGATCTGGGTTTGTTTTAACCTTATCATATGCTAAAAAGTTCATCCCATAAATCCACAGAGCCAAAATACATACATACATTGGCCATTAATAGTAATATCATATAACATCAGAGCTTCTTCCACACTAATATATGCACACAAAAAAACAAAAAGATCAATGTAAATATGCACATTAATTCTTGTTGAGACCTTATCCCAAAAAGAGTCAATCAGCAGATTAAAAACCTTAAGGAATTCCAATTTCAAGGCTGGTAATTAGCTAACTGAATAAGCTTGATTTCGGTGAGCCATCGAGAAGAACAGCTCCAAATCGGGTGGCTGGAAATGTCTGTCCTTCGGTGGCTCCCTCTTCTTCTTGAATAAAAACGGCTTCTTCCTCAGAGGCGGAGGACACGCTGATGCACCCGGTATCTCGCTCGGTATCTGGCAATCTCCTCTCAATAGAGTTACCAGCCATCATGCTCTTCCGCCATCATCCGCAGCACCTCGTCGTACGTCGCCTCTTCCCTCATGTCTTGGTGATTTTTACAAATTCTGCTAGGTGATTGAGGGGGGCTAAAGGGTGGGCTTCAAACAAACCCAGATCGGGGCTTGAGACAAACCCAGATCGGGGCTTGAGACAAACCCAGATC